ACAATCACACCCTTATCCATAAAGGCAATGCGATGCCCCATTTCAAAAGCCTCCTGCACATCGTGCGTCACCAGCACCACCGTTTTTTCACGTAATTCATCCAGCTCTAAAAACTGCTGCCTGATGGCAGTGCGGGTTATGGGGTCCAAAGCTCCAAAGGGCTCATCCATCAACAATACAGGCGGATCAGCCGCCAGAGCTCTGGCTAAACCAATTCTTTGCTGTTGTCCTCCACTTAGCTGTTCGGGGTATTGATCACGAAAATCATTTGGAGGTAAAGCCAGTTTTTGCAGCAGAAGCTGATATCGCTCTTCAATATCTTTAGGATCCCACCCAAGCAGGCGTGGCACCACGGCTACGTTCTCAAATACGGTATAATGCGGGAATAGTCCTCCTTCCTGTATAACATAGCCCATTTGACGCCTGAGTGTGAGAAGGTCCTGTTCTTCCAGCGGGTTTTCATTAAAGAGTATACGGCCCTCATCCGGCTTTTCCAGGCCATTGATAAGCTTCAAAGTGGTGGTTTTACCGCTGCCGCTAAGACCCAGTAACACCATAGTTTCTCCTGCTTCAATGTGCAGGTTTACTCCTTTGAGCACCGCTGTTTGATCAAATGATTTGTAAATGTTTTGCAGGCGGATCATGGCCTGGCTAAGATAAGGAGCCTATACCACTTTCAGGCTTGCACCAGTTCATCCTTATGACCATAAGCTTCCAGACGGTTCAACATACCCCGGAACACGAAGAAGTGAAAAGGCAGCACGCCATACCAATACAAGCGGCCCAAAATACCATGGGGGCGAAAGGTAGCGCTTTGCTTCAGACAGGCCTGCCCATCCTCTTTTTCTTCAATGCTAAACTCCAGCCATGCTTCCCCGGGTAATTTCATTTCAGCATACAACAGCAAACGCTTTTCATCACGATCTGCCACTAAAACCCGCCAAAAGTCCAGGGCATCACCATTGTAAAGCCTGGTATCATGGGTGCGCCCCCTGCGTAAGCCAATGCCACCCATCATTTTATCCATGATCCCGCGTATGTGCCAGAGAAAATTGGCATAATACCATCCCCGATGTCCGCCAATGGCAAAAATATTATCGGTTACCTGGTCCACATCATTGCGTATCCACTTGCTGCGCTCATCCTTAAACACTCCTTTTTGAGGCACCTCTATATGTTGTGATATTTTTGGCCGGCTGCTGTTCATGGCATCCTTCCAGCTGCTGACCACCAGGTTTTGTTCAATTTTATCAAAAGCCATTTCCACCGCTTCCTTATAGGTGAAAAGCTGAATATCCACTTTGGTTTTGATAGTGTCATTCTGAGCTACCACATCAATCTTCATACTGTTTACCAGGTTTACCGCCAGTTTATAACTGGTGGAGGTAACAAAAAAAAGCCAGTAGCTGGACAGGCGTGGTGTCATAACGGGTACGGTAAGGATATGCCGTTTAAGGCCTCTTACTTCGGCAAACTGCTTTAACATCTGCCGGTAGGTAAGCACTTCTTTTCCACCTATGTCAAATACCTTTCCATAGCAATCTTCTTTTCCCATCACTCCGGTAAGGTAAAGGATGACGTTGCGGATGGCGATGGGTTGACACAGGGTATTCAGCCATTTGGGAGCTATCATTACGGGAAGCTTTTCCACCAGGTCGCGGATAATTTCAAAAGACGCACTGCCTGAGCCTACAATAATTCCGGCCCGTAGTACCGTATAATGTGCTTTGGCGGTTTTTAACACCTCTTCCACATTAAGGCGTGAGCGCAAATGTTTGGAGAGTTTATGCTCATTGATAATACCGCTGAGGTAAATGATCTGGCGGGCTTTCAGGTAATCCGCAAAGTTGACAAAACTGCGGGCCGCCTGCTCTTCCATGCTTTCAAAATCGCCAGATGAAGACATGGAGTGAATGAGGTAAAAAGCCACATCTACTTTTTGAGGAGCTTCTTTATAATTGATATCCTTTAAAAAGTCTACCTCAAAAATTTCTACTTTATCTTTATATGCGGGCTTTATATCCAGCCGGTTACGATCCCGTACACAACACACTACATCATGGCCTGCTTCCACCAAGGCGGGCAGAAGACGTAAGCCGATGTAACCGTTTGCTCCGGTAAGTAAAATGCGCATAAATGGTTAACTAAATAAATTCCGGAGAGTTCAATGGCCCTTTGGCCTGAACACACCAAGCCTTAAAAGTAAGCCGGATTTTGCTGTTTTCCACGATTTTTAAAATAACGGTATACAAGCAGAAGGCTGCTGGCTATGGCGGTGGTAAGAATCAGGGGGTAGGGATTGGGGTCAATTATGTAACGTTTATAGATAATCCCAACAAACGCCCACACCAGTACCAGGGCATACATAACATCATTGGACTGGTGCAAAAAGTACAGACCTACCATAGTAGCCAGCATGATCACCGCAGCTGCCCAAAAGTTAAATGGCAGGCCCCAGCCACCCCAGTTCCAATGTACGAGCAAGGCCGTTATGTTGGCTACGGTAGCCACCGTAATCCATCCCAGGTAAATACTGAACGGGGCATGTACGGCATATTTCTCTGCCGGGCTTACTTTCCGTAGTCCTATTCCCAGGTTCCGGTAAATCTGTATAAGGCTCAACAGCAGGAAAAACATAATGCATACACTTACGCCCACCAGCTGGTAGTGCCAGGCCAGTATCCAGCCGGCATTGGCCACACAGGAAAGAAAAAACCACAATCCGATCAGGTCTACCGAAGCCACGGCTTGGACAGACTTGTTAAAAGCGTCCCGGCTGGTATAGATCACAAAGGCCAGCAGGCCCAGGTATATTACACCCCAAATAGAAAAAGTGAAACCCACCGGTGTAAAGAGGTTAGGGTACATATCGGATAATTCTCCGGTGGTATATCCATTTATAGGCAAAGCATTAGCCAGGGCATTAACCACTACCACACCTATCCAGCCTGTGATATTCAGTATTTGAAGTTTTTGACGCATGTCTAAAGAAACTCCCTTACGCAGGGAATGGTTTAAAACGACTTGGAAAAGCCGAAGGCCGGTACCCAGGCATTGGTGAAAGCCCTGGTTTGATCGTTTAAAGACACCTTAGACTGTATAAAGGTAAGGCGCACAAAAAGTCCGAAACCTGAGGCATTCTCATAACAAAGATCAGGGGCTATGAAATAGCCTGAGCCCGTATTTACCGTAGCTGTTTGCTGTGGCTGGTTCAGGCTGCCGGATGTGGCAGCAGGCATATTAAAATCCAAACCGGCTATGTATATCTTATTTTCGCTTACTTCTACCGTATTGAGGTTAAAGCCTGCCGAAAGATCAAAAAAGAAATCCGAGCCGAGATCAAAACGCCTCAGCAAACCCACCTGGAAGTGTGAACGCCTTTCTTTTCCGCTGATACTACCCTGCTCGATATAATCCTGTCCGTTCTGATCCGGGTTGGGACGGTCTACCGTAAGGTTAAAGGTTCCCCCCGCTTCCAGCCTTACCTGGTGTAACATCAGTATTATTTTCCAGTGCCGGCTCATGGCATACTCGCCACCCAGTAAAAAGCTTACCTGGTTCTTATATACAAAATCGGAAGGTGCCTGGCGCAGTGAAAAGGTATAACCACCTAAGGCCTCCTGTATCTGCTGCCGGTATTCGCGGATATTCAACACCTGTAAAAAGCGGTTATTGTCCGCTCCGGAATAGTATACGGCTGTTTCATCATTGGCGATATAATACCCGGCTCCTAAATGGAATTGTATGCGCTTAAGGGAATCGGCTTCTTCCTGAGCCCATACGGCTCCGGGTATCCCGAAAAACAGCACGATGATCAGAAGGCGGCAATTATACATTATACAAAGAATTTTTCCAGCACATTACCTACTACATAGGCCAATACGGCCGCTGCACTTCCTAAAAACAAGGTTTCAAGGATACTGCGGAGTACTTTGGTTTGGTTTACCACCGCTTTAAGGTAGCCAATAAGACCAAACACCACGGCTGTCATTACAGATGACCACAAAAAGAGATCAGCATCCAAACCAGAGGAATAATCAATAACGTATACCAGCAGCGGAATAAAGCCAAAAAGCAGAAAGCTCATAAAGGTTACGGCCCCCATAGCTACGGGTGATTTGGTTTCTTCCGTCATCTCCAGTTCTTCCTTCATCATTACATCCACCCAGCGGTGGCGGTCTTCGGTAATTACATGCACCACCTGTTCCAGTAATTCACCTTTAAACCCTTTAGCCTCGTAGATCTCGCGGATCTCTTCCCGTTCCTTTTCCGGCAGGTTATCTACTTCCCAGTATTCAATGTCCTTGTGCTTATTGTAATTTTCTTTTTCACTTTTGGTGGAAAGGTAACTGCCCACGCTCATGGCAAAGCCATCGGCCAGCAGGTTGGCAAAACCCAGAATAATGACCACCGCACTATCCAGCTGCGCACCGGCTGCACCGGCTACTACGGCAAAGGTGGTTACACTACCGTCAATACCTCCGTATACAAATTCACCCAGGTATTCCTGAAAGCGGTTTACCAGGTTGTACTTGCTGCCGTGTATCCGGGACTCGTGTTTGTGGGAAGAACTCAAATCTTAATTTTTTTCCTTTTCGGTTTAGTGAGCGTATGATTTGAGAACAAAAGTAAATAACCTTATTTTGCCACGTGGTGAAAACGAAGGTATTCTTATTTAGTCTGATTTTACTGTGTGGTAGTATAGCCCGGGCACAGGAGAAAACGGTGATCCATCAACCTTTGATATGGTATGGAGCTACCGTTCAAAAGCAATTTAACAACGGCTACGCGCTAAGCCTAAAGGCAGAACGCAGGGATTTTATAAGCCCCCAACGCCAGCAGCAACTGGTTATACCGGACATTAAGCTTAGCAAAAAGCTGAACAAGGGCTTTGCGGTGGATGCCGGACTTTGGGTGTTTACCATCTATCAGCCGGCCTTGCAGGAATTGCCGGTAGGCACCAGGCAATACGAATGGCGGCCTTATTTTACGGTACACTACAAATTACCACTCGATAAAGGGTCTTTTGAATTTGCTGTAAAGTCAGAATACCGGGCTTTCAATTCACCGGAGGCTGAAAACCGTTTTGATGAAGCCTTTGCAACCTATGCCATTCGCGAGCGTTTCCTGCTGCGCTACAACCTGCCACTCACCACTAATTTAACTGCGCGTTTTGGTGAGGAGCTACACCTTAATATTGCCGGGAACCGCGACCAGGGAACCTTTGACCAGAACCGCCTGATGGGAGACCTGGTATATTCGATCCCCATCAAGGGTTCCAATGATCAGTTAAAGCTACACGCGGGCTACATACACTGGTATCAGTCCCTGGGCAACAACACCTTCCTGAGCCACCACATTATCAATACGGGCGTTAGCTTCCTGTTTTAAGGCTATAGGTCAAACTTAATGCCCTGCGCCAACGGAAGTTCTGTGGAATAGTTAATGGTATTGGTCTGTCTGCGCATATAGGCTTTCCAGGCATCGGAACCACTTTCGCGTCCACCACCGGTTTCTTTTTCACCACCAAAAGCTCCGCCAATTTCAGCTCCTGAAGTACCAATGTTTACGTTGGCAATACCGCAATCGCTACCGGCTGCGGAAAGGAAACGTTCAGCTTCACGCATATTGGTGGTCATAATAGCCGATGACAAACCCTGCGGTACGGCATTCTGCATTTCAATGGCTTCATCCAGCTCACTGTAGCGGATCAGGTATAAAATGGGTGCAAAAGTCTCCGTACATACAATTTCATAGTCATTCTGCACCTCGGCAATACAAGGCTTTACATAGCAACCGCTTTCATAGGAAGCTCCTTCCAGTCGGCCACCGTCCACTACCATGGTACCCCCTTCTTTACCGATCTTCTCCAGGGCATTCTCATACATATCCACCGCCAGGGTGTCAATCAGTGGACCTACATGATTATTGGTATCCAGAGGATCACCAATACGCAACTGTCCGTAGGCTTTTTTCAGTTTTTCCTTTACCTCCTCATACATACTGTCGTGTATGATCAGTCTGCGGGTACTGGTGCAACGCTGTCCGGCCGTACCCACAGCTCCAAACACGGCCCCTACCAGGGTAGAGTCCAGATCTGCGTTCTCAGTAATAATAATGGCATTGTTACCGCCCAGCTCCAACAGGGATTTACCCAGCCTGCGGGCTACGGCTTCGCCTACTTTTTGTCCCATACGGGTTGAGCCGGTAGCGGAAATAAGGGGAAGGCGCTTGTCGTTACTCATCCACTCCCCTACTTCACGACCTCCGTTCACCAGGCAGCAAAGGCCTTCGGGCAGGTTGTTTTCCTTAAGGGTTTCGGCAAATATATTCTGACAGGCTATACCGCACATCGGTGTTTTTTCAGAGGGCTTCCAGATGCATACATCACCACACACCCAGGCAATAGCGGTGTTCCAGCTCCATACGGCCACCGGAAAGTTAAAGGCCGAAATAATGCCCACTACGCCCATAGGATGCCACTGTTCATACATACGGTGCATAGGGCGTTCAGAATGCATGGTAAGACCATACAGCTGACGGCTCAGGCCTACGGCAAAATCACAGATATCAATCATTTCCTGTACTTCGCCCCAGCCTTCCTGAAGGGATTTACCCATTTCATACGACACCAGTTTTCCCAGTGCGTCTTTCTTAGCGCGCAGCTTATCACCAAACTGGCGTACAATTTCCCCGCGTTGCGGGGCCGGCATCATCCGCCAGCTTTTAAAAGCTTCCTGGCTTTTGGCCACTACTTGTTCGTATTCTTCTTTGGTAGTGGTGGTTACTTTACCGATAAGCTTACCATCTACCGGAGAAAAAGACTCAATCACCTCGCCTTTGCCAAAGTGTTGTTGCCCGGTAGAAGTACCCGGGTTGACATTTTGCACGCCTAATTCTGAAAGTATAGTCTGGATGTTGAAACTCATATTTTAGCTTTTGCAGCGAAAATAAAGCTTTTCATACGGGGAACAAGTAAAATGAAGCGGAGCAGTTTTTGATTATTTTGGCACTATGCGTGTATTCATTTTTTTAAGCCTCTTAACAGCTTGCGGCTCTTTCCGAAGCACCCCTTTTCAAGAAACCACCACAGCCGAGTACCAGAAGAGTATTGCCGGGTACAGTGGTGCCAGGCAGCTGAGTTTTTACCTGGAACTCCCGGCCGACAGTACTACGGTATTGAATCGCTTTGTGATAAACGGGGAGGAACTGGGTTTTACCTCTCAATATACCCAGGGCCACTACATCCTCAGGGCGGAAAAAGAGTATTGCAATCCCGAGCGTGATACGGAATGCACGCTTACCGGGGCAGAGTTTAACCAGGCGCCTTTATATAGCGCGCAACACTATGAGGCAGCGGTATATTATACTCGGGTAAACGGCAAATCCGGTGCCTGGAAGATCAGCTACTGGACAGCCAAAAATACCACAGACAAGCCCTGACCTTCCTGTCAATCAGGACCGGTTTTCTTTAAACCCAAAGCACCGGAACTCATGCCTTCATAAATAATAGGTGTAATAGACAAAAAGTATAGCCAGCGCATTGTACACACTATGGGCCACTATAGAAGCGGTAACCCGACCGGTGTATAGAAAGAGAAGAGTATACGCCACGGTGGGGATCATAATATCCACCCAGTCCAAAAGGCTTACCGGCATATGGGTGAGCGCAAAAACAAGGATGGAAAAAAAGGCCGCTATGCGCAGTCCTTTGGCTGGTTTATCAGCTATAGTTTTTCCCTCGCCTATAAAATAGGCTCTGAAAAACAACTCTTCGGCTATACCTCCGCCTAAAACACCCAGAGCCAGGAAAGAAAACAGGCCCGGTATACTGCCATCGTACATACTGAGCATCCCCTGAATATCCGGCCGGTCTGCCCCTCCGGTGGCAGGTATCAAAACGTATTGAATAGCCATCCATACCAAACCAGCCAACAACCCGAGCAGTACATCCCGCCACAGCGGCCGTGCGGGCCATCCGATATCGGCA